TCTCTCTCTCTCTCTCTCTCTCTCTCTCTCTCTCTCTCTCTCTCTCTGTGTCTCTCTCTCTCTCTGTCTCCCTCTCTGTGTCTCTGTGTCTTTGCTCAAGGGGCGGAGTTGTGCTTTAATCTGATTAGCTAGTTGTTTAGCTGCAAATTAATTGTAAAGATTTTGGAACTTCTTGTATTGCTGCTCAGGAAAGACTATTTGTTTGCATACAATAACAATAAAGCAATGTCAGTTACTTTCTTAGTTGTCTTTTTCTCTCAATATAATCAAAAAAGAACCGTTAACACTGTTGACAAGGAACCGCACCGACAAGCAAAATCGAAAAGAGTACTTGCATCGATAAAATCCAAACGATACCCATCCCTAGATGGCTAGTTTGTCCTCCAGCTGTTAAACTGCTGTCATCGAATCCTTATCCGGATTTGAACTTGGAGCAGCAGTAGTACCGATACAAATGAAATTAACCTAAGGTGGTTAAGGTGGTTCGCCCACTTATTACAAACCTTCTTTCAGCGCCGGGATGTCTCGTGTCTTTTGTCTTTTCCCGACCACTTCTCCTCGACCTCGATGGAAAACATCACGAGGTCAAGGAAAGACGTTAAGGAGAATTCATAAGGACTTAGGAAAAGACAACCGCGCTGCTCAGAGAGTTCGACTGCACTTACACTCTGCTACTGACGTTTGTTTTTTTTAATGTAACTTTATTTTTTTCGACAATACCACAGGTACCATAGGTACCGGGTGGGTTTGAGACTAAAGGCGTTTGAAATCCTAAAGGCCGCTAACCTGTGCATGATGGCTATCTTGCTGACTCTTGTCCTGAAGCATGTGCATGGTTTATCATTCTTTATTTTAAAGTGTATTCAAAAATTGTAATCCTGCTAATAAACTCATTATTAACAAATCTGTCAGTAATCTGATGGCATCTTTTTTTCTGATACCTTTGTTTTGGATCCTAATTACCTAACCGTGTATTCTGTTACTCCCCAAGCCTGCAAACACATCACAGAGATATTATCAGGACAATACAGAAAATGCACAACATAGGACATAAGGTTTTAAAAGAAAGGACTCTGAGTCCAGATGGAGAACCTTGTTAGATGTTACCATCTGTCTTCAGTGGAAACACAGTGCCTAGATGTATCAGTTATTCATGCTCAATAAATTATGAAATGATGTCATGTTTTGAATTAAATTTACATAAAATGTTTGAATTTCACCGTGGGGCGGTCCATGACCCGTAATCCCACGTTGTGCTATTCTCGTGGGGAGATTCTATAATCCACAGAGGTTTGGGGCTGGGACTGCGTGGATGACTTCAGTTACACAATGTAAGGGAATAGAATCTTAGCATGATATTTGGATCCTTCAGGCGTTAAGAGTTATAGTAAGGCGGACATGGCATTATGTAAACCTTTGGTCTGGCAGATGTTTTCTTCCGCTGCTTGTCTATAAATCCCCCAATGGTTTAGGAGGACTGGTTTGTCTCTCAACATGCTGTATGAACAGAACCCTCTTGGCCTCTCAGGTCATCTGGTAACTGTCAGCTAGCTTTTCCCTCAGTCGGAAATAAATATGGAACATCTTAATGTGTCCCCCGGAGCGGAAGCAAACTTAAAATGTTGAAGGATTAGGCAATAATCCAGTCTTCATGTGTAAATTTGTGTCTGAATATGTGTGTGTGAATATGTGAATCTAAAGCGTGTCTACTCTGCACACATAGGTCAATGGGGTGCGCCCACAGTGAGCGTGTCTTCAGTGTTGGGTATGACGGCGGGCGTCTTGGCATCTACAATGGAATCGATCGGCGACTACTACGCTTGCGCTCGCTTGTCCGGTGCCCCTCCTCCGCCGACTCACGCCATAAACCGAGGCATTGCGGTGGAGGGCATCGGCTGCATCCTGGCTGCGCTGTGGGGAACTGGAAACGGCACCACCTCCTACAGCCAGAACATCGCTGCACTCGGCATTACCAAGGTACGCGTCACTATAGTCTCCCTATGTGTGTCAGGGCTCTCTAACTCTTGCTATTTTACATTTTAGCAAACAATTGGGAACTTCATTTAGATAAATTTCATTAGCATTTATCTAGTCATGTTTCTGCCGACCTTATGAATGTAATATTTACTCTGCTTTTAGCTCTGTTTCTGTTTCCACCGACGAAAATATCTTACATGTCCTCACCAGCGAGTTGCTAACCTTAGCTGCGGTCAAATGGTAAATTATAAAGTAGGTTTAGAATTGGGTATTAAAAATCAATGAATTTCACTGATATTGGAAATGGACTACTAAACTTTTATAACACATAACACATAGAAAAAGTTCATTGAAATTCAAAACAGAATCACATTCCTCCTAAGAAGGCTGGTTTCAGCGGCGGATGTTATTGTTGGACGGCATTATCTTACTTCCTTTCGTGAAGCGTGGCCCAGTGGACCCTTTAATAAAAGAGATAAGGAAAGAAGCATCGCAGCCCCTTTCATTTATCTACAAACAAAATCTTATGCTATATACGAGTAAGTGTATAATCACATACACATTGTTACTTTAAAAGAATACTTCACCCACAAAATGACCATTTGTATATCGGTAACTCACACCGCGTTACCTTGACGTCATATGCTCCGTATTTCCCAAACACATGCCTCTTCGTGTGATTGGGAAGTAGGCCTAGCAGAGCGCTTTTATGGTTAACTGCCCCTCGGCACGTCCGCTCGGAAGAATCCCTCGGCGCTGTCTTTAGTTCTGATACATTACAGTAAAAACTCAAGTTGACTTTACTGAGCTTTAGTGAGCTCAACCTTTCAGAACGCTTTGTGATCTTCTCTTATCAGTTCTGCTCTTAGCAAATTGGAAGATCAAGCGGTAAGTGATTGTAAAGAATTGCAAAAAGAGTGCAAGTGTAAATTTAAGGACAATGATTTGGATAGTAGGTCAAATTGTATACCTCATTTTCTGAATAGCAGTGAATTCATTATCATAAATGAATCCCAATTTCTGTTGGCCTGTTTGAGCACAACTGTTTGTCCAGACTTTACTCACACTCACACACTGCAAGAGCTCAGTCATAGGATTTTTTCATGTATTACGTCTGCACATTATGCACACAGTTATACATTACTGAGTGCCAAGTGGAGGCGAAGGAGGGTAGACTTAATTCACAAATAATGTTGATTTATGGGGATTTGATGTGTGTCTGGCAGAGAGCTTTACAAGCCAGTGGACGCTTCCCCTGTAATGCCATTGAGTTTATGTCCATGGTGTAAAATCCATATAACATCCATCTACTGTGGGCATCATCCAGGCATCTGCAAGTTCTAAGAATAGAGTACGACGGTATTCAGAGTTATGTTCACATAAGATGTCAGCTGAAACCAGCGGTGGAATGTAAGTACTGTCAGTACATTTACTCAGGCACTGAAGTACAATTCTCAAGTACTTGAGAACATCAATGTATGCTACTTTATACTGCACTATACTTTGGAAGCCAATATTGTACCATTTACTTCACTACATTTAGTTGACACTATCAATTATTTTATCGATTCGTATGATCAGAGTGATAACAGAGTTTATTAAGTTCCAATAATAATGATCTAGTCAACTAATATCTAAAACTAAGAACAAATACTATACATTTATGAGCACGCTATCTAAAATCAACAAACTGTGGTAAGAGGGAGAGTGTGTGTGTGTGTGTGTGTGTGTGTGTGTGTGTGTGTGTGTGTGTGTGTGCATGCATGTACTGTGTGTGGGGGGTAGAGGCAAGAGAACGGCTCAGACAACGTATGATGTAATCTAAAACGTGGCTACGTCACGTGGGACTACACATTGAAGATAGATAGAACTATCAAAATGGAGTTTGCACGTCACCATATGATGAGATGACTTCGTGGTCGACGATGTGGTCCTTCTGAGCTCCTCGATTCTCAGGCTGCGCAGCTCCGTGCTGCGCGATAATAAAACTCTGTGGCAGAGAATTTCTTCAGAAGTCAAAGGAATTCTCGTCCTTGGAACCGGCATAAAGTCGACTTGATGGGAAAGAGGAGTGTCCTTCTCTTTCTCTGAAGAATCTGTTTTCTTCACTTCTGCAGGCAAACTATAGATTCTTAAATCATAATCTATGATCTTCACATTCTGGAAAAAAAAGAAAAAAAAAGGAGAATCACTTATCGCTGCAAGCAGTGATGAACGAGCCCTCACACCTTCGGACACATTGATGGTACTGGTGGGATCCAAAGCACTGAAGATGATGTATTGCTATTTTTGTCCACTATGTGGCGCTAGAGAATTTTACACCATGTTGCTGTATAACATGTGTAGACCAAGCCATGTCAATTCCATGTAAATTGTATGATTTTTGCCTCTATATGACTCAGCCCAGCGTGTGAAATCTGGGGCGTTGGACTCGTGGTTGGACAACGTAAAGTTTAGTCACAACAGCTTCCTGTGTCATGGCGAAGACTGCAAATTGTCCGCTTCCCCACGCCACAGCGTTCCAAGATAAATAAATAAAAATCTTCACAATTTAGCATCGTGAAGGTCTTTAGAGTCTGCTCACCAAGATTCAGATGGATCTGTTGAGTCCTGAGGTTGACCGATAGTTTGGAGGAGGAAAAAGCAAATAGCCGATGAGTCATCTGATATTTCTGCCTGCTCAGCTGTCCACGGGACCGCAAAGGTTTAACCCACATTTTCTAACTCTACAGCCAGAATGCGTTAAAGGTTTTTATACGGAGTGAAGAGCTTTGCTTTCAGAAAAAAATGTCTTCGACAATCCAACTAAGAAATATCTTGTCGTATATAAATATCTTGTTATTTAAGTCTCTCGTGCATTTATGGCTGAAGTGTCAATATGTGAGCATCAAGTTTCGTGAGTTTTTCGAGTATACCGAGGGCGTCAAAGCGCATTCAAAGACTAGAAGTAATAGAGCTGACGTGGCACACCAAAGCCCAATTGAAACCAAAAATTTTAATAATAACTTCAAAGATGGATGCAAAGTTTCGTGACTTTTTGTGCATCTTTAAGTCCTCAAGCACGTTTTTGTAACATGAAAATGGACGCAGACAATCCAAAATGGCTGACTTTTCCCATTGGGCGAAATCGTTTGGCCCCACTAAATTTCACTGCGGCGTGCCAACCCTCCTGAGATTGCGAGTATCCCAAGCCCCTGAAAAATTGCGATTGCGCGGTAGAAAAATTATCTCTACAAAAAGACTTTCATTGCCACGGACCATTGGGTCGCTCCAGCCCTAATAACGTTAACACAGACGACAGCATCCATAAAGATTCCTGTTTCGAGTATTAAGTTGGATTTTTATGGAGTTCTTAAAAAGCACATAACACTGATGTTTGATGTACCGAGTCCTGTCTTTGATCAGCACAGCACAGATAAAAACGTATTCTACAGTTCACGGTTTCATGGCCTCTGCAGACTTGACCTGAGCATTCTCCGTCTGACTCAGCTTTCTCGTCTCCGTCTAACCCAAAACCATTGCAGATGAGATTTATAGTGTCCCTGCTCATGCTCATTTCCCCCCACACAGCATCCTGGTAAAAATGAAAGGTGGCATGATGAGAAAGATGGATTAACCCTTCTTGTATTCACCCTGTGCTCATTTTATGCCAGGTTGGCAGCAGACTGGTCCTCCAGACGGCCGGCATTCTGATGATTGTCCTGGGGATCTTTGGGAAATTTGGAGCAGTTTTTATCACCATCCCAGACCCGGTCATCGGAGGCATGTTCCTCGTTATGTTTGGAATGATCGCAGCGGTGGGAATATCCAACCTCCAGGTAAACTCAGTTCAATACTACACCATCTTATGTTTCATTTGCTGGACACTTTTATCCAAATCACTTCCCAAATGGAGTATTGAGATGGCGCCCTTTTCCTATGACAAATTCTATGGGCATCAACTATTAGAGATAACCTTTATTTGGGTTTGCAATGACAAGGTGCTCGGATTTAGCTTTGAAATCGGACAGAAAACCCTGATATCATATTTTAGTTTTACAGAAAGACCAATGAAAGGGAAATGACATCAGAGCTTAAAGCTAGTGGAACAGAAGCTACTGTGCCACTGTGCTGTGTCATGCCCCTCACAGAGTCACGGTCATTTTATGTAATGTAGCCGGATAAATGCTTCTTCTTTTACTCCCCCCCCCCCATGGCATTTGACCTGCCATGACCAAATAAACATGAATCCTGCAATAAAATAGGAATGTTGTTTGAGGTTCCAGATTATTTCTAATCACATTTTAGTGAAGTTCTAAAACAGAGATGGCAGCCAGCTAAGGCAGTACAACAAACTAAATTCTCTCTCTCTCTCTCTCTCTCTCTCTCTCTCTCTCTCTCTCTCTCT